CACCGCCATGGGTCAGACGCGCTGAGCTGAATCGCTGCGAACCTCTGCTTCGAGGGTTTTTCTTTGCCAGCTGGTTGCAAAGCGGACACGGCGGAATGTCCCTTCAGCTGGGAAAAAGTGACGCTGCAATGTAAGGTCTGCATTGTCATTTTGAATGGGCCTGTATCCCTCGACTCGGCACGAAATGATTCTGCTCTGACAACAAAACCCAGCCTTTGACACAAGCCCAGCTAGCGAGTCTGATTTTGCGGGCCACCAAATGTCTACGACTCCTGGGCGATCGTTGCCTCGGGGAAGATGCTTTAAAAACAACGTATGTCCAAGCTGCTCTTGAAAAGCGCTTGGTTCAAACTCTCCAGTTGGCCGTTGATAGTTTTGACAAGCATATACACCGGGGCAGTGATCTAAACGTGTCCCTAGGCAACCTTGAGTGTATCATAGTAGTGCATGGTGAATTGTGGTGCTGTGTTTTTATGGCATAACAAAGACGAGACACCTTCCACCTACCTTCTTTCGTGCATCACCCGTCTAGCACGTGGCCGTGATGGCGGGGACGGCATTTCTTGTCTTGGCCTCAACTTGAGCTTGGCAGCAACCGCAGAGCTAGCAAGCACACTTTTCAGCACTGTCGAGGCGCCCAGCCTGTCGCCAACAAGCGAGCCTGTGGTTCCTCTGAGGTCAACGCCTCAGCTGGAACTCAGCAGCTTCCTTGTACGTGTCAACTCTTGTTGGAGGTAGGACGTGCTCAGCTCAATTCGTGTGCGGTATCCGCGTTTATCCCGAGATGCTCAGATCCTCTTGTTCGCCCGGCCACAGGCGGCATCAAACATCTTGCGTTTGCCTCCAGTATGACACCGCAGCTGTCAGAAAGACGTGCAAACGCAGTGTGCAGAAGGAAGCACATCCTAGACATTGCAACGCAACACAGCATCGTGGCAGCAGGGCGCAGTCGCAGTTGGCCGAATACAGACAAACCTGGTGTACCTCGCTGACTTGCCGTTGTCTGCCTAATGTTCATTGACTGCCACTGCCACCTCACTGCGGAGCAGTTCCAGCATGACGTGGAGGCACCAGAGATGCCTGGTTTGCACACAAAGTCACATTCAAAGGCAGAAGCAGAGATCGCAGTGTTTCCAGGAAGTGCTAGACAGATCTCGCAGAGCTGGAGTTCGAGGTGCCTCGAACTTGCAGATTCTCTGAGGACTAACTTGTTGCACTAAAGCATGGAAAAGATTCTGACGCTTTTGATTGCCCCAGCCTTTCCATCTTGGCTAGGTATTCTTGCATGTTCAACTTCGGCCGCGGATATGCTACGAGTGATCCAGCTGCGTCAAGACCACCCCTCAGAGATTTTTCCTTGCTTGGGCATCCATCCCTTGGATGACAGCCGCCAGGATTAATTTGATAACATATCGAGTGGCTCTGTGTCTTCAAATCGAACACTGGGGGCCCTCACCTCCAGGCTTTGACATGGCCGCATGGCAGATGGTGCGTGCCCAGGTTGCAGGCTTCGAGGAGCATGAGTGCCAATATGTTGCGCAAAGCCAGGTGATGTGATCGTAAGGGAGCACCACGAAAGTGGTCTTGCAGCTCTGGGCGAGTGGCTCGGTGGAGCCTAAACTTACCATGTCCTGCTGCTGATTGAGACATCATCCATCAAAATGCGAGGAGTTTGTCAAAAACCCGTCTTTTGCAACAGTTGGCAGGATAGGTTTGGACTTCTCCCGGCCGCTGATCAAGCAAAAGGCAGCAGCCAGAGGCACAACCGAGGTGCCTGTGCCGAGGCACTTCTCCTCATTTCCTCAACCGGTCGTTGGCTTGCATTCAGGCAGACGTCCGAGCCAGCCAGATTGCCGTGTTTGAGGCCGAAGCCAAACTCAATGCGGTTTTTGAGAGTCCTCACCAAACTATGATACATGATTGCTTTCCTCAGCATATCTTCAGGCACACCTCCAACTAGCAAAAGAACTTGACCTGCCAGTGAATGTTGCTTGGATTAGTTGGACAAGATCTGAAGAGTCATCGGTTGTGTTCGAACCTCAGGTGCATTCACGCAATGCAGAGAAGGAGGTCCTCAATATTCTTGCACGCAAGGAAGTTTGGGGCGTGCCGAGTTGGCAATTTCGTTGGATACAAGCAATGGGAAACTCTGCTGCTAGAGTGGAGCCGTAGGGTTTGGGCGAGGTCCTCCATGCCTACAAGGGGCCTGCAGCTCTGGCTGTCCAAGCTGCACAAAGCCGGCGCTTGTGGTTTTCTTTCCCGCCCTCGCTTGTATACAAGTGGGAGTACCAGGCGGGCTCTCAGTGAGGAAGCCAATATTTGTGTAAGTGTCGAAGAGGGTGCCTTCGTTCCCAATGCTCCCTTCTGCTGTGAAGAAGCATAGCCTTCACGACTTTGTGATCTCCTGTAGTACAGGTACATCATGGTACACCGCAGTAATGGACAGGGGATTGTCCTGTGGCCGGTTGCGCTGCCAGGGCGTAATCCCCACCCTACCTGTCCCATCTCTCTCGCGGTCAATCACTCTGTCAATGTAACAAACGATGAGATTCGGCTTATGGTGTCAGCAATTCAGATTAATGGCAGGGTGGCACAGAGAACGATCTCGTTGGGCAGGAAGCCGTGAAAGCCTTGCCACTCGAGTACCTCCTCCTTGAGACAGATAGTCCCAGCCTCGCAGCTGCCGGGCCCAAGGCTGGTCAATGTTACCCTTTTGCCCCGCCAGGCGCGGTTTAGACTCGTGCTCTGCTACGCCAGGCTCGCAATGAGCCAGGATTCATTCGAGCTGCCGCCAAAAAGATGGCCCAGCTGAAGGGTGTTAGCATCGAGGAGGCCTTGGGTGATCTGGTTGTACCACGCTCCTTCCATGTGCCCATGTGCTTGCAGGTGGCCTCGCGGACTACACAGAATGCTGTGCGTCTCTTCGGCAAGGCTTCACCCAATCTACAGGCCGAATGCTATGCTCATGCCGAAGGTGAAACAAGATTTGCTGTGGTCGGAGGCCTGCACTGTGAAGGAGTCGGAGAATTTCTTCACTGGGAAAACTCAGCGGTGGCAGAGAGACCTCAAGGAATGAGTGAAGGGTTTGCGCCTGTAAGAGCGGGCAGTCGTGGTCAACGCAACTACCTTCTGGAGTTTGTGTTTTGCGCTACACAGGACAAGCGCAAAGGCGAACTACCTGCGCCGCCTCCTGCACAAGCATTTGTTCCACCCGAGCCCGAACAGAAACAATCGAGGAATCACATAGCCATCAACATACAGAGATAAGGACGAGGGTTCCAGATATCAAAATTGTTTTGCCTTAGCTGAGGATCGACCCAGGAGGCGATGGTCGCGTCAAAGTCATGGCATTCAAGAGTTGATGGACCCTACGCTGTGCTCGTCCGCATTTGGACCGGTGCGTTGTGACTGAGAAGACCGGGCCACGATGCAAACGACTTGCGTCACCATCAGCCCAAAGAATCAGCGCTGGATCTTTGCAAAACAGTTCTGCCAGACGGACGACGAATTGCGAGCTGCAATAAAGGCCGGCGCTTGAGCCACGGAAACACGCAGCAGATGCCGATGAAGCAGGGCAGGAAGCCAAGTTGAGTTGGCTTCTACACCAGGCTCCAAGCGGAGGTCCTGTCTTGCAGACTCCGCCCTACGGCCCTACAACTTCTGCCACAGCTCTGGCTGTATGCGTGCAATCAAGAGTGGACAACATGTGGCCCTCTTTGAAGTGGGGAAAAGCGAGTGTGCCCGTTGTCGTTGCCATGGTTGGTGCTCATGAAACTTCAGTAGAGAGGCGCGCAGGGGCCAGTTGCTCTCCAGGCACCTTGCTGGACCTCGGCGTGTTGCATCGCGGTCAGCCCGTTCCTGAGAGAAATGACGAGGTTGCAGACCCAAACCCTGTGCAAGTTTGGTGGTGAGATCAGGAGGGCAATGGGCGGTTGCAGCAGACTGCCATTGTGACCACCCTGACCCTTGCGCTGGCGCAGAAGGCATCTGAGCAAAATAGCACAGGCAAGCGGACCATCGAACTAACATTTCTCAAGCTTGCGAGGTGAAAGGGCGCAGACGTCACACTCTCTCAGCGGGCCCCAGGCCTCTGTTCAAGCAGGATGAGACCACAGAATAGTCCACTCATGGTTTGTTAGTCTTGCATCCAGGTTTGCCCCCGAGCAACCGCCCAAGGCTTCAATAGAGATTTATTTTAAAGCCTGGAGATTCTAGAGCCCTCACCAAGATGCTGCAGGAGGGCGAGATCGTAGTGTCCGGCGGGCCTGCAAGATTGGCACGCAAGAAGGTTCCCCGATGGGTCAGTGGCTCAGGATGCCGAGTAGGCAAGAAAATGCGGTTGTTGACAGTCTTTCGCGCAGGCACCAGATGGAGGTTCCGACCCGCTGGTGGCAGACAAAGGCCAGCCAGCAAATGCTGAGTCATTACGATCTAGTGAATCTAGTGTTGACCAACTCACGCAAGATTTCAGGCAGGGGCGGCGCACTTGATTTCATGACCGAGGACTGGTTGCATGATGTCAGTATCGTGATATTGCACACTGCATCGACCTGTGTTGATTGTGTGGCATTCGCTCAGTCTTGACAGCCCTGCCTTCTGCATGAGGCCACGAAGTTTACAGAGTCCTTTTACCATGGCAGGAGGTGTATCCAGGCGATGGCCGGCGCGGGACCTAAAACAAGGCCAATCACTATCAGGCATCCATATTGCTCTCAATTCATAATCTAAATCATACACATGGGATCCCATGAGTGCATCAAATGACTAAGGTGCTATCGTGTAGTCTACGACTTGGGTATAGGTGAATGATGGCATGTTTGCCGAGCTTCTATGTTGCTGAGACGTGAGCGCAGTCGAGCGGACGGCCAGGTATGCGAAAGGAGCCGAACATTGGTGCAAAAAGGACTGGAGAAGATCTTCTTGCAGGGGAAGTTTTCGAGATCAAGCAGGAGGCCTTCACTTGGCTCCAGTGGTTGCTGCTGCACTTCTTCACCTGTCCCAAGTTCATTCATATGACCCCGTTGTGCCAGATCCGCCGTGCTGGGCGACGGTACTTCGAGCTGCTGGATGGCCGGGGCTGGGTCTTCGACTGGTCTCGCTGCCTCGCTTGGATGCTAGGCTTTCGGGAACACGTTAAAACGCGTTTAGATTTAGGACCGAGATCGACGGCGAGCGAGTCGAGCTGGTGGAGCTGCTTTGATTTTTACACGTCTTGCACTTTAGGCTTCACTTTAGAACGTCTAATTGATTGTTGTTTTTTTTGCTGGCAACCTCTCAGCCAAGGCTAGCAGCCCAGCTCTACACGGAGCCTCGTCAAGAAACTGGTTTTTGTTTCGGCACAGCGTGCAGTTCCAGCTCGGGTGTTACTTGTGAGTCAACGGAATTCCAGCTTTGGAGCCGCATGTTAAGATGATTGGCATCACATTGCGACCAGCTGTTTCTGCTGATGCCGCAAAGTGGTTTCAGCAAGTAAGCAGATCCTGAGACTTTCTGCAGGCAGAACACGGAAGTTTGAAAACACAGCGCCTGAGGTAGCTTTCCCTGACGGAGTGAACGGCATCGCCTGGAGCAGATCGGCAAATACTTTGATGGGTCTGAGCTGCTTCAGTTGGCAGGTACCACGGGCGAGTATTGTTCACCCACAGAGCCACAGGATTCTTACTTGCTCGCTGGACCCTGCAACAGACACTGCAACAGACACTGGGTGTGCTGAGCGCATTGCAGAGTGGATTGAATTTTGACCCAAGGCTCCGATGCCACAATGCGGTTCTGTACTGTCAATGGCTTCACCAATGAGGCTCTCACTGTCGACTCAGAGGAAGCCCTTTTCCATTCCAGAGCCAAATCATCGCAGGTGGAGGCAACAAATCTTGCACAGGCAAGATCCACGGATTGCGTTTGCAAGCCGGAAGCCCCCGAGTTTAGGGAATGTTAAGGCTGGAATTCGAACCGGCGACGTCTTGGTCATGATCGACCAGGCTGCGCACCTGCGGCGTGATCTTGATGCAAAAAGCTGCTTTTGTATCCTGTGGGCCAAGCAAAGCTGTTGATGACTTGTTCATGTGCATCGTAGATATGAAGAGATGGTGATGGTCTGCACCCTGAGAGTAGAGTTGCAGAAGCTAGTTTTTTGATGTTTGGTGTGTGCGTGTGTGTCGTATGCTGACACGGCCGAGTCACCTTGCTTATTTTGCTGTAGATCCCCGCACTTGTTTCAGGATAGATCTCTTTGATTTTCCTGATCTTCTTCTCAAAGCCAAGCACGCATAATCAAGAGCAATGGTGCACGAAAACCAGTTCTCTGAGAACACCATTTTTGCTGGAAGGGTTTTCTTGCCCACAGCGATGCTTTGCGGATGTGCTTCTTCGTGAAGCGTGTTTATTTGTGCAAAACTTGCATTTTTTTCGTACGCGCTGAGTGACACCTTGCGGTAAAGTGTTTGCCCTGTGTGTGCATCGGGCCTGGTTCGCAGGACCCTGTAGTTGGCATGCCGTTTGGGCAGGCCAGTCTGGTGGACTCGGCTAGCACCGCCTGAATGGGAGCCCAAAATGCGCATTTGTCTTGCAGGTTTTGGAGCGGGTTTGGGCAACCGGTGGCCGGCAGCCGGGATCAGGAGAGAGCATGCAAAGTTAGAGGTTCTTAGAACTGCCATGCAACGAAAAGGATATTTCTACAAGGTGACCACCGAGTCTCCTTATGGCATTGGGCGCTGGCCTGAGATGGTTCTTCAGTGTTTCATGACGGGCCAAAGTGCAGCCCGCAAGGATTCGAGATGAGCCGGACATCAACGGCCCTCGAACGGGCGAAGACTTGATCCGAGGGGCTGTCTTTGAGGCTGCTTTTTACGAGCAGAGGAAGCAGAGGATGCAAGATGCAAGGCCACATGGCTAATTGGTTTCCATTGGTCTCCAGGTGGACGAGATGGTGGAGGTAGAGGTGCCACTTTGTTCACATTTCGCTGTGGCATACTTGAGTCGGCACACACTGCAGTAATGATCTTCGACCTGCCGATTGTTCTCTCGTTCTTGCAATAGCGAACAGCCTCCGATCGTACCATCTGGGGCATGGTAATACGACATCTTTCTCCAAGTGTCACAGCTTCTCTGCATGTCTGCAGGTAGAGCCTGGCTTTCTAAGAACTTGCACAAGCTATCGTAAAAGGTTGAGGAGGAGTTGATGAGAGTGCTCGCAACTGACCACTTATGTCAGGATGAGCTCACTTATCTGCATCTGGCGGATCAGCGGGGATGGGCAGCTCTCTTGGCCTCATTGCATGGTGCTGTGCATGATGTTCTTGATGTTCGTATGGACAGTCAGGTCTTTGACAACTCGGCTGTCGATCCAGAGAACCCGTCTGACTCTTTGGTCCGCTGGTGCCAAGTAAGCGCATGCCCACATCTCCACACATGCTATCAGCTCAGGTGCGTCATCAACTTGGCAGAGATTGAGCCAGGCTGCACTCTGACAATGTGGCGTGGTGAGGCCAGTCGTAGTCATCCTTGTGCAGACGCGGGCGCGGGTCTTTGCCTGGCAGGTGGACGAGCTCGCCAAAACTATTGGTTTGCGCTTCAAGCAGGATGCTGTTAGCTGCATGCCGTTTGTATGAATGCAAGATTTTGAGATGTTTTTGTAGGATGGCAATGAGGGACAGCCTTTCACCCTGACCGTGCTGGAAGAGGGGGAGTCGCAACCTCCGCCGCCTAACCTCACGCTAATCGTTTTCCTTTAGATGACTGAGGCCCATCCAGCGTGTGCCGTGCGCCCCTGGCTCCAACTTGCGCAAGACCTTGCTAGCCAACGGCTTCCAGGACAGACCTCTGATACCCACGTAGAGATGTCTGCACGGAAACGTTGCAGTTCGAACGAGTACCCCCTCGAAATTGTACTGGGAGGAGGGCTTACGCTGAGTGCCACCTACTTCCGGTACACATTACAGTAGAGTGGGGGTGGGGCAAGAAATAGACGCCATAGATAGAAGAAAAGTAAGATAAGTAAGAGTTGCAGGGTATTCGTCGATGTTTGCTCATGTGGCTGTGGCATGCTGTATCACGTAAATGGCTGGAGCCGTTATTATCTTAAGCAGGACAAAGTATGGAAAGGAGAGAGCCTTGAGGGTCAATTATGAGGAGTGGTCGGAGGGGTGTAACTCAAGTTGAACCATGCAAAGATCTTGCAGTAGAAATCTATATTTGTCATCAAGTTTTTGCTGCCTGAAAAATTGAAATTCAACGATGTAGTTATGGCATGTATTCCAAATGCTCAGCGTTTGTGAGGCCGGATTTCGAAGAAGGTCCTGAACCTTCTTAACTCCTAGAATCAACCCCTAAACCCTCGACTCCTAAACCCGAAGTGGTAGAATCCTAAACCACTCACGCTTCCCCAGCACCGGGGTAGCACAATGCTGGGGTGGTTTAGGAGTCTAGGGTTTAGGTTTGGGATTGCAGCGTTTAGGGTTCTGGGGTATAGGGCTCAGGATTCTACAGCGCTGTTTGCATCTGTTTGGGGTATGAAGGGTGCAACCTTTTGTGCTTTCCGCACTAGTCACTAGTTCCTAGACTCTTCGGGGAAATGCAAGAGTCAAACGCTGGAGTCAGAAAAAGACAGTTGTCCAGCGCGATCCAAACTTGATAGCACAGTCACGCACAACCAGAGTCAGAGAGCCAGATTTTTTGTCATGCTTCCTCATTCTTGATCTCGGAGAAGTGGTCAATCCCCCCCCATCATGTCAAATCCCGGAAATAGGTACCAGTACCTACTACTGGCCCTACCCACTCCCCCTTCAAGGGGTCCTCATAGTTCAGCCACTACGTAGCTCAAGTAAGAACAGCGCTTGCAGGTCTACCAGGATCTCCGTTCCGTTTTCAACTGCAACGCTCAGCAGCTTTGCGGCACCTGTGTCTTGGACGTGATGGAGGCCACGTTGCCCGTTGGCAAATGTCGTGATGGGCTTTGTCCAACTTGTTTGCTGAAAGGGTGATGACAACCTCACGGACCGAAACTCAGGGAATACTTTTACTTTTTTGGGTTCTTTGTCGGCCACCAATTTGGGAAATTCCCAGGTTCGATCAGTGAACGAAGCAGCGGTGATGTCAGCGAACCCACCCAGCTTCAGGCATCCAAATCCTACCTTCTCGGTGTGCTCATTCCTTGCTCATTCGTTGCTGATCGGTGTGACTGAGTCCATGGGCGCAGGCTTTGCTGCAACATCGATGTCTACGGTGATGTCACCGTGAGGCAGTGACTGCATGTGACTGCCATGTTATGCAAGCCCATGCGTCCTGACAGCCAGTAGACCGCTGCAGTGAAAGGCTGCGCCCGCGCGGTGTGAAGTACGGTGGGGGCACCAGCTGAGGGCAAGTCGCCCGGGCAGTTTTCAGCCAAGCTTCAAGTGTCTTGCACGCTCCATGACACCGACCCTGAGAAGATGCGCATGAGACGGTGCGGTCAACTGTGGACAGCTTTTCTGCGACTCCGCCTGCTTTGATAATTCGCCAGCTTGACTTAATTGTTTAACGTCAGGGGCAGGTCCATGAATGGATGCCTCAGCCTACAGGTTCCTGGAGGATTCTCCAACAAACCTCCAAAGTTCAGACCCTCACAGCGCCGTGAGCTTCTTATTGATGAGAACATATGTGCAGCTGAAGGTACCCTGATGCAACCAAAATCTGTTGTGCATGATGTAGAAGCGCCTTTTTTTGCTGGTCGCTGTTTTTGGCTGGAAGTTTTGCAATAAGCTGACAGCAATCCGCAGCCAAGCAGGACCCCACGAGCAAGACCGCCGGCACAAGCATTGCTATGCAGCATAGTCTCAAGTCTTTGCAGCAAAGATCAGACTCCTGCTTCGCAAGCGTATTAGACTTTTCACAGAGAGCCGATTGCTGATTTGCGCTGTACGCTCGTTATCATCACTCAAGGTTCATGTTCGGAAAGAGACATGGCAGAAGGGCCACCTGATTCAGTCATTACTTCACATGTGAGACTTGGAAATTTCAATCCAATCCTGCGTGCCGACTGGTGTTAGAAGTGGGAAGCTCAGAGACTGTGCTTCGGATCGCAAAGTCCTTTGCATCGTGCGTTTGATTTTGGGCCAGCCAGACGACCGCGATCACATTTCTGGCAATTCTGGTGTTCTCCTTTGATCTAGGCCCACTCAGACAGTCAGTTGAATCTAAGAACTCCTTCCCGAAAAAAAACCGTAGTATTGAAACTGGCGGTCAGTGATGCGCTAGCTAGAGCTCTGAGCAAAACCTTATGCCGACAATACTGGTGTGTTGAGGCCAGCGGTTGGAATCCCGGAATCCCGGAATCCCCCGAGACACAAATAAGGACGCGCTGAGGGGGGTTAAAAAATCACTAAACAACTTAAAAAGAACTTGCTATGTTCTCCTCCCACCATTAGTCAAAAGAACGTGAAAAGCACGTCCCCGATGGTAACCCCCCCCCCTCCCCCTTCGGTTCTTTTTGGCACAAGCCCCTGAGTCACGTCAGCTGACCGTCCCCCCGCCTCTGATACCTCCGTCAGTCCGGAGCTTTTGGCATGTCCAAGTGAAGGGCATGAAGGGGACTTCTCCTTCATGGTCGCTATCATGAATTCCCAACACGTGCTAGAGGATGGGAGGCTTCTGTTAGTCCAACTTTTCAAGATGTTGGGAGCCACAGTACAGCTACAGGCAAGACACGATGGAAGTGCAGTCGTGGTTCCGATCTGAGGAATGGCAGAAAAGTCAGAACACGAGCAATGTCCTGCACAAACGCGATACCATCAAAACTACCAACAACAAGCAAGATGTGCAAAACCCTTGTATAGTGTCAACATCACGGAATCCTGAAAATGACCGCAAGCCCTACATCAAAAACAGGAACAACTACAAAAAACTGACATACCAACATGTACCTACAACAGAGTTTTTCTGCTTTCCACCTGAGCTTGACCCCTGGCGCGATCTGATCATAGGCTGCAAAACCAAAGGAACGCGTTCCGGCTGATGCGATCCAGCAGTGTCCACTGTGGGCAAACCTAGGGTAGAGTGAGGGGACGTCATCATCAAAATCAAGAGAAAAAACATCTGAAGGTTCAGGGTAGATCTCTGAGTGTCCGCTGTGGGATGGGGGTATACAAGAGGCGGTCTAAAAAACTCCAAGCGCCTAGGAGCTCTTAGCTGGACTCGCGCATGTTTCTTGTTCTGGTAAGGAAATCTCCAGTCTCGGTCTGCATCTGCAGAATGCGCTGTAAGGGAGCAAGCAGCCATAGTCATGTAAGTCTTGCAATAGCTGCTTGCCATAAGCTTAAGGGGTGCAAGGCCTTCGTTGGGGGAGGGGAGGCTATACTCTATGAGCCCGCAGCGAGCACAGAGGCCTTCTCTTATCAGGCAGGGTCAAGCTTTTAAACAGCCCTATTGAAGCACCCACTACCTGGGGAGTCCAGCTCCTCTATAAGCAGACCCAGATAAGAAGCCACTTTGTGCGGAATTGCGTGCACCGAGGCTGCTTTCAAAGCATGGGAAGCGGGTTGCAGGTGCGCGCGGCTGCATGCATTGTCTGCTTCGGCGTGGGAACTTTTGACATGCTGGAAGGTGTGTGTGGCCACCCTGGGGCTGATTGGTGTCATGATCTTCATGTGGCTTGCGGTCGGGCAGAGGTGATGGCAGTTAGCGTGTTGAGACTGGGACCCTGTCCAAAGGTTCCCACCGAGCAAACGCTGGATCTGAAGTTCCCCAACGCGCGCGGCCAATCCAATGTGTTATCTAATGCTGCCTCTTAGCAGGTTGGCTCCGTTGCCTGTCATTTTGTCTCATGTGCCTGAGTTGCAGAGACCTCCGCGAAACTGACCGTGGCTTTGCAATTTGGCTCACGCGTGAAATGATGCTGTGTTGCAGCTGCATGCGCTGAACTTTCTCCTGCCTGGCCCCACGTCTGCATTTCGGGTTTGGACATGTGAGAGCATGCTGCATGTCAAAGCTGGTTAGGTACACGTTGCATGTTTCCGCACTAGCGCTGTAAACATGTGGAAGCTTTCTTGGCCAAGAGAACTCAGCAAACTGGGTGAGTGTTTCAAGATTGCTCCGTAACTCAGGATGAGCGGGTACGGTCCTGAGACCTGAGAGCTCTATGCGCCGACCCTTCTTCAAGATGCTTCAGGTTGGCAGCACTTCTGGAGCAGAAGCTCACCGGCTTGAACAGTTTCTTGCTTGCACGGGTGCCTGGGTCGGTGACAGCTCCGAGAAGATTCCTGACATGGCCTGGAAAGGTTATTTTGGCAACGCCAACTGCCTGTCGACGCCGGATCCAGGGCGTTCAACCTTGGCTAGGCCGAAACTTTGCATGCGGGTCAGTGATTTTCAAACGCCGTTTTTGCCGCTGGAACGGCCAGTACGGCTCTTCCGCCATCACCCTCATCGGCTGTCTCCCAGCAGCACCACAGTTCAGAGCTCAGTTTGGACTCTCGACTTGGTGGCTGGAAGGGGATAGTGCACAGTGTTATCTTTGAGATTCTGAAGGGCCGGCCCAAGGTCTGTAACGAGTTGCCACATAAGCACCCCGTCCGGACTGTTGCACTTCATTGCACAACAGCTGCATTGCTTCCGAGGCAGCTCTTGGCCGGCTGACTCGCTGACAGAGCCAGAGAATGAAAGCATGCCAGCAGCCTAAGCAGCCTAAGCAGCCTAAGCAGCCTAAGCAGCCTACAGTACCCACTGGCTAGGTTGGTTCAGTGGAATTGTTACCCCGAGGCCTTGGGTTGCTGCTCCTGTCCGGGCTACTCGATGTTTAGCACGGAGTGGCACTATAGATGAGGCCTGGCAACCATGACGCCTAATCACCTACGCATTCTCAAGTTCTTTCAGGGCTCCTTTGGTCAGTCGGCGCCACAGAACCTTGGGAAGGTTGAACCGCTCAGTTCGGGGCTCGGAAACCCTGTCCAGCCCTGCTTTCACATCTTGATCAGATCATTGGCACCAGGCACGCTAAAAGATGAATTCAAGCGAGGGCCTTTGATTGCAGAAGTCCAGTTCACCCTTACTTGGAGTAAGTAGTAATAAGTAGTGTGTCTGGTCTGAGAGCAGGTTCAACAAGAGCTTCGGAGAAAAAGTGGACGGGCTATATGCGGCGGAGTGCGACTTGCTGTTCACAGAAGCTGTCGACTTCTTGCCAGGGCTGTTCCGGTTTGTGCAGCCATTGCAGGTACAGAGGCTGGCGGCGCGTGCGGGGTGATGGCAACTGTGCTAGGCCTAGTCACCTAGTGCTGAAGCAAGCTTTGGAGGGGACAGCAGCTGTTACAGAGCAAACACCAGCTGCGATCCCTGCACGCATGCACACATACAACTGCGACAGCCAAAGGCAGCTTCCAACGGGGCATTTGTGACACGCACTGAGTGGAATGAGCAGCACTACCCCTGTCCATGGATATGGGGCCAGTTGTCGGGAGCTAGAGTTGGGTGCCAACTCGCATTGGCAGAGGCCGAATATCTAGGGAGCATCGCGAAAGAAGGGATACGACAGCAAGCGTTGCTTTGCAGCAGGGGACCTTCCATTGCCGTAAAGCTTTCTGAGGAACAAGCGTCAGACACGAGCAGGTTGACTCCTGGAATTTGTAGCGTTGCTCGCAAGGTCATAGTGAGGCTCAAAGAATGCTCATCAGTGATACCGATGATGTGGCAAAGCTGTTGTAGGAAAGCGTGAAGAGGTTTTTTGGAGGACCTTTTTTTTAGGTACCTTTTTTTTTGTGGCCATGGCCTCGAGGGTGTTCGAATTTTGGCTTTTCAATCATTTTTCATCATTTTCTCTATTTTCCCAATATTTCTTCATTTTCTATCATTTTCATCATTTTATATAATTTACATAGTTTTTATATCATTTTCCTCGATTTTATTCAATTTTGATATACACTGTTCATAATTTTCATCATTTTCCATAATTTGTCATACTCACTTGACTTCTGCCTTCTTTCTGTTGGCTGCTTGGGTTTTTGGCTTTTTGGCTTCTTGGCTTCTTGGCTTTTCGGCTTTTTGGCTTTTTGGCTTTGTGGCTTCTTGGCTTTCTGGCTTCTTCGAATTCTGGGACTGTGGTTTCTCGCGTTCTGCTGTAGTAGTAGTCGTAGTAGTAGTAGTAGTCGTCGTCGTCGTAGTAGTAGTAGTAGTAGTGTAGTTGATGATCAGTAAGGGAGGGTTATGCAGATCATGTTGTTTGCAAATGGGGGGGGCGTGCGCCCCCCCCAAACCCTCCCCGACTTTGTTACGGCCATCCATGCCTGCCAGTGTCATCGTTTTAAATCATCTCCGTACTTTCCATGATCCCGACACCCCCAAGATGTATTTGTGCGGCCATCCAAGCTTGGCGCAGTTATTCGGATCATG